CCCCCTCCTCTATCCTGTCCTTTATTCCCTGCTTTGTGGCTCTTTCCAATCGCCCACCCCCCTTATTCCCCCCCCCTCGCTGTTCTACTTACCATTGCTGACTTGGAAGGTAAGCAGCTAAACCTCTAAATGCTCCATTTTCAGCACTGTGCGCAAGCACCTTGAGCACTTGGGCGTGCAAAGTACGCATGCATGCACAAAGTGCGCACTTACTAAACTGTTAAACCAGCAGCATCCCACCACTGGTACCCTTCACATGTTTGCAGAAACCCAAGTAGGTTTGGTGGTAGAAAAGGGTGCCTACTTTGGCCAAGGGATCTCTCCTAACATTCAGTTCAGATTTATTCTCTTCTATTTTAAGGCTATGAAATTGGGTTCTGTACGGTCCTTTGTGGGCAGTAGAAAAGCTCAGTGCAGTTTAGTTAGGGAACCCGCACTGAGATGGTTTAACATCTTTCCTATCCTGAAAGGAAAGGCTTGTATGGTAGTCCATGTCTCTCCATTGTTGATTATTTCGTTGTCTGGATATTAGATTGCTTCCCATGTTTTCCCAAAACTAAAAGAAAAAAAAATATTTTTATGGGCTCAGGATTCTTTTCAGGAAAATCTCCTTTAACTGATGACAGTCAATTAATTTTGGTAAGTCCATGTGCTATTCCTACAAAACGCATGCACAATTCCCCACCTGTTTTTGCTGTCCACCAGGCAGGTTTTTCTTTTTTTTTTTTTCTGTGTTGAGTGGTGGGAAGGAACACTGAGAAAAGAAATACCCACCTTCACTCTTTTGCCAAGGCTGAGCTGAGTCAACTCTTTTTCTAAGGGGGGAAAAAAAATCTACTTTTCCTCTAAACTATCCATCATCCTTTCAGCACCGATGGTGCTTCATGGCTCTGTGCAGCCAGAGGCTTTCCCGCAATCCAACCGCAGCCTGTGACTGGTGCCATTGCATCGGAAACCCTTAATTCACCCTGGAAGCTGTGTGGGTTAGCATGAAGGTGAAGCAAAGGACAGGACTTTCTCTTCCTTCGATGCAACATGAGTGCAAGCCGCAGCATCAACTGGGCTGGGTGTTCCTGATATGGATGGTGAAGCAAAACAACATCAGTATCCTGTTTCCAATAATGGTCAGCCAAATGTATCATCTTTATTTGAAAAGTTCCTTTAAAAAAAAAAAACTACTTTGGTGTTTCTCAACTTTGGCAACTTTAAGATATGTGGACATCAACTTCCAGAATTTCCCAGCCAACTGATCCTTCCATCAATAAACTCCTCTTGGAGGTTTATGGGAATTATGAATCAGTTAGACTGCACACGTGGATTCATGTCTTGGGCTGCAGTATTCCTTCATCTTTAGCAGTGGTGGGATCCACTTACCTTCGGTTCACAACTTCTACCGGTTCACAACTTCTGCGCATGTGCAGACTGTCTGTGATGACATCCAAGCGAGTGGGCGGAGCATCCCACTGCCGCTACCGGTTCGCACAAACCAGGGCGAACCAGTAGAAACCCACCACTGATCTTTAGTTAAGATTAATAAGAATTATAGGTAGTCCTCGACTTACAGCCACAGTTGAGCCCAACATTTCTGCTGCTAAGCCAGTTGTTAAGTGAGTTTTGCTCCATTTTACAATCTTTCTTGCCACAATTGTTAAGTGAATCACTGCAATTGTTAAGTTAGTAACATGGTTGTTAAGTGAATCTGGCTTCCCCATTGACTTTGCCGATCAGAAGGTCACAAAAGGGGATCACATGACCCTGGGACACAGCAACGGTCATAAATACGAGTCAGTTGCCAAGCATCTAAATTTGGATCATGTGACCATGGGGATACTGCAACAGTCATAAGTGTGAAAAGTGGCCATAAGTCACTTTTTCCAGTGCCGTTGTAACTTTGAATGGTCACTACATGATCTGTTGTAAGTCGAGGACTACTTGTAGAGTATGGCATTGGGAAAAATGATTGCAGAAATCAGCACAATATAAATCCAATGTATCCTTGTGGGATTTGACGGTAATCTACTCCTCCCTTGGATGCAATCACTCCATTTCGCCCGGCATCTAATAGGAATGTCTGCAGTATAGAAGTCAATTGACCTAACATGATTCCCAGAAAAAGAAGCTTAAGGTGTCAAAAGCTATAAAAAGGGTGATTTAATTATTCTTTGCTGGCAAAAAACAGCTACCAGTAGCGGGCTACAGCCAGTCTGTTTTCAGCCAATAATTTGCAATTGCCAATAGAAAACAAGCCTGCTCAACTGCCAGGTCTGTTTTTGGCCAGTAAGAAAGGAACAAAATGTGCTTTTGCAGTGTTTGAGCTTGCGCAGTGATGCCACTATGGAAGCCCTGCTAATGCTGCATCATATGACACTGGCGTGTAAAGAAGGAGCTGACAGGGTGATGTCACTGCGAAGCTTACTATAGCTCAGTGTTCCCCAACCTTGGCCACTTGAAGATGTGTGTGTTGTGGTCTGCCAGCAGCCTGCAGAGCTGGCAGCAGAGTCGGACAGTGAGGAGGCTGGGGAGGAACATAGGCCAGTCCTGGAGCTTAAGGGAAAGCCTGGACGAGAGCTCTACATCAGAGGCAGAGATGGGGCCAGGGCCATCTGGGAGTGATGCATGGACTCCGGAGCCCCCAGAGTCGGACAGCAGAGAGGCAGAGGAACAGGAGGAGCCTGCTCCTAGTGCACACATGCGCAGAGCTGCCAGAAGGCAAGAGCAGCTAAAGCAAAAGGGACAACTTGGGAGTAAGGCCAGGAGATGATTGGCCCCTCCCATAAGGCTTAGAAGAGAAACAAAGGCACTTGGGCCTTTTTGCAGGAAAGCAATGTTGCTAACTCTGTTTCCACTTGGCATCTCTTGTTTGTTTCTGAACTTTGTGAGGCTTTGCCAAGTAAGGCCTTTGGCAGGGTCTATCAAAGAAGATAAAGGTTGGTGATTATCCCGAAGGACTTCTTCCGAAGGACTTGTTTTGCAACTAATTGGGACTCAGCTGGGAATGAACGTAATTCTCAGCTGTTACAATAAAATAGGTTTATCTGGGACTAATTGTGTCTTGTAATGACTCAGTAAGCCTAGGTCACAACAGTGTGGAGTTCAACTCCCAGAATTTCTCTGCCTGGCTGAGGAATTCTGGAAGTTGAACTTCACACATCTTCTAATGGCCAAGGTTGGGAAACACTGCTATAACTTGTCCCACTTTGCTGCAGCACATCTGATCTAGTACAGTGCTGGCATTTGTTTCTTGCAACTTGAATAGTGATAGCAGCAGTAAAAATGTCAGTTTATCCAATTTCACACAGAAGAAGAGAGGGAGAGAGAGAGGGAGGGAGAGGGAGGGGGAGAGAGAGGGGGAGAGGGAGAGGATAGGAGGGAGGGAGAGAGAGGGAGAGGGGGAGAGAGAGAGAGATGGAGAGGGAGAATGTCTGAAATCACCAGGGACTCGTTGGGGACCACCACTTCTTTCCTATGCATTTCCTCAGAATTAACTCACAGCTATGATTGTCAGTCTCCTGTAGGTGCTATCAGTACAGCCACTTCACTGTGTCTCCTTTTTCTTTAAGCCATGTGCTAATTTTTCCAAGGATAGCCACATCCATCAATCCCAAAATGAGAACATATACTTCACGGGTCTGTATTTGTGTCAGAAGCACCTACAAAGCTGACCAAAGGGTGCATCTGGATTGAAAGGATTTGCCAGTGACAACACCGTGGTCCAGGGGATGCCCAATTGCCAAAATTAAAGGTTATCCTCAGTAGTGGGTTCCACTTACCTTCGCTACAGGTTCAGAATCGGGAGTGCGTGGCACGTCTGTGATGACATCCAGGTGAGTGGGCGGAGCCTCCCGCCACTGCCACTACTGCTCATTGGTAGCAGCTCTATCTGCAACTTTAAGACTTGTGGACTTCAACTCCCAGCAAAGCTGGCTGAGGAATTCTGGGCGTTGAAGTCCACAAGTCTTAAAGTTGCCAAGGTTGGAGACCCCTGTTGTATTGGGTAAGTTTTTTTCCTCTTTGGGAGCTTAAAAAAAAATAGTTAATTGGGGGGGGGTTAGACCCATTTTGGGTCTAGCACAGCTGCTTTTACATTGTGGGTGAGCCAGTTGTGTTGTATTGTGATTTGTAGGTTAAAAAAGGGCAAAGAAGTGACATTGACTTGGCCACGCCCACCCAGTCACCTTACCACCAAGCCATGCCCACTAATTAAGCCACGCCCACAGAACCGGTAGTAAAAAAAATTAGATTTCACCCCTGGGGCAAACCAGTAGAAACCCACCACTGGTACTCCTCAACTTATCACGGTTTGTTTAGAGATGTTTCAAAGTTACAATATGTGGGGTTCGTTGTCTAGTTTAAAATGATTGCAAATCCAAACTTAAATAAGAAAACAATGGTAATTTTATTTACTACTTTGCAAAGAGGGTTCACTGCGCATACACACAAGTACAGTGGACACTTAAGCCATCAATATACTTTCTTTATATTCCCTATCATCGTCGCAGGTTTGCCTCCCACCTTTTCCTCATTGGCGGAGTACTCAGGTCGTCACAATCTATGCGAGGCGCCTCAAATGAATACATTTTCCACTGCCCGTTATTTACAATTTATCTCTATTAACTATTAGTTTCTAGGGTAGTCCTTTTTGTAGTCCTTCTACAACAGGGGTGTCAAACTCGCGGCTGGATGTGTCGTGTGCTGGCCACGCCTATCCCCAGTTTAGCGAAGGGAAAAAAGTTGTGATATGTCACATTTATTTATTTATTTTATTTATTTTGTTGCATTTCTATGCCGCCCAACTCCCAAGAGACTCTGGGCGGCTTACAACAAAGATTAAAACAATGCGAACAATCCCATAAAAAATGTTAAAAAGAAAAACATTAAAACATTAAAAACTTTAAAAACGTTAAAACGCATGCACTCCAATTCGCGGCCGGGTCTCGCAAGATCATTATAATGAGATCAACGGCCCCAGGCCTGCCGGAAGAGCCAGGTCTTCACTGCTTTGCGGAAGGCCAATAGGATGGGGGCAGTCCGGACCTCAGGACGTAATTGGTTCCAGAGAGCCGGAGCAGCCACAGAGAAGGCCCTCCCCCACGGGCCCGCCAGCCGGCATTGTTTAGCTGACAGGACCCGGAGGAGATCGACTCTGTGGGATCTTACCGGTCGCTGGGAGCTATGTAGTAGAAGGCAATCTTGAAGATAGCCTGGCCCTGAACCATGTAGGGCTTTAAAGGTAATGACCAACACCTTGATTTTCATGTCGTCACAAGTTTGACACCCCTGTTCTACAATTTCTGTAAAAGCAAAACTCCTTTCTCCTTTCCCACACAACAACACTGAAAAAAGTGACTTATGACCATTTTTCACACTTATAAACATTGCAGCATCCCCATGGTCACGTGATCAAAATTCAGACGCTTGGCAACTGACTCATATTTATGACCGTTGCTGTGTCCTAAGGTCCTTTTGCCACCTTCTGACAAGCAAAGTCAATGAGGAAGCCAGATTCACCTAACAACCAAGTTACTAACTTAACAACTGCAGTGATTCACTTAACAACTGTGGCAGGAAAGGTTGTGAAATGGGGCAAAACTCATTTAACAACAGCCTCACTTAGCAATAGAAATTTTGGGCTAAATTGTGGTTGTGTAGTTTGAAGGCTATCTGTAATGCAACCTTCGAGGAGTCTCCTTTCATGTCCCCCTACTTCACGGTGGCAGTGAAGAAATATTTACTATACAGTCTTTCAAGAAGAGTCCAAAAGAAGGCACATTTGTACATGCAAATTTGCATATGCACACATTTGTATATGCAAATATGAGCAATTCATGAAAAATTGAATATGTTGCATTTGACTTATTTGGGTATGGAATCTTTTAAGAATCCTACATTTTCCAGCCAGCTTAATTGAGAAAAAAGTATTTTTGCTCCCTATTATATATGCATACAAACTTTATGAAGTTTTTATCCTATCCATTTTTTTCTAATTTTCTTTTTTCTACAATTTCCTGTGACTATCGAGTTGACATTATAGATGTTAGTATGAGACAATCTAGCTCCATCTGGAGAAGACTCGATGGTTACCGCCATTGGCAGGAAGACTTTCTAATGTGTTCTGTTCCTTGAAGAGTCTGGTAACTTAAAAGACGACTCAAGAAAGAGGTCAAAGCATCAGTAAGAAGGATTTTGTACATCTTGCTGAAATAGAGCTAAGGAACCAACAGCAGTAGGAATAGATGCTACAGCAATTAGTTTGAAAGTGGGGATGGAGACTTAGTAAAGCAAGATGCTTCAAACTGTCCTCTGTAAATTCTCAGTTCTGAAACATATATTCAAAATCATCATTCATCACCCTTTATTAAAGGATTATAACCAGTAATTGTACTGTCAGCACTTCAAGCTGCATTTACTCTAGTGCTGACATAAGAAGGAGAAGCGGAGGCATCTGGAAAGGGACGTTTGACTTTTCACCTACTTATTTTCCCTGGAGATAATATCCCCTAGGAGATGGGATGGGAGGGGGGAAATTCCTTTGAGCTGGAGCAGTAGATTAGGGGTAGAGTGACTTGGAAGATGGCCAATGAGTGCAGAGGAGTGGGAAACGGAAAGGGAGGGTTTTGGGTCTGGAAGTCAGTGTTGGCTACGATGGAGTCGGAGTTAGAATGTTGTGCTTAATAAATGGGAGTTTTTCATCAAAGACTTTGTTTGAAATGCAATTTATTTGAGACGACCTCGAAACCTGACACGTACATTGCCAATAAAGTTTAATTTTAATCATTAACAACATAATAAGCCTATATCAGTGATTCTCAAAGTGTGGTCTGGGAACACCTGAGATCCTTTCAGGAGATCTGCAAAGTCTAAGGAATAAATATTTTAACACTTCTCAGATTTAATTTCTAATACAGTACTTATCAATAGATATAAACCACATAAACCAAAGCTTTGTGGGTCCTCCACCATTTTTAAAGTTGGAAGAGGTGCTGACAGCAAAACGTTTAAGACCCACTGGCTTAGATAATATTTATTTGCAAACAGGAGTGTAATTTGCAAATCTGCAACATGGCAGGTGTGGCTTCAAAATCAAAGTCCAAAGGTGCTGTCATCTTGCAGATTTTGAACCCTGCTGGACTTTACAAAATATACCAAAGGCATTTCCATTCACACAATTTTAGAACAAAATACAGAGGTAATTTCATGCCCCTGCTGTTTCTGTTTCTCAGTCCCACAAAAGCAGTTTGAGAATGAATGGGGACTTCTGGTAAAGTCACTTCTTCTGCTGTCACTGAAAAGAAAAAGGCAAAAAAATAATAATACTGTTACTATCGCGACCAAACTTCCATCATCCTAACTTCAAAAAAAGGTTCTTCAAAAGTTTAACAAGCATTTTTTTATAAATCCCATATAGCAAATTATCCAGTTCACTTTCTTGGTTTATCATTTGAATATCCCTTTTAATGATTAAAACATCAGCCAGTTCCTGTTGTATAGCTAGTGTAACATCTTTTCCCATGTCATTCTCATAGCCTGTCATTTGTTAATCCACTTTCAGCAGTTCTCAATCTTGCCAGGTAAAACTTGTTCTTCTTCCATAATATTTTTAGGCAGGGCTTCCATAGAGGCAACTGTTTCTGTTGACACTATTAGTATGAACCTTTGAGTCCATTTTTCCTATTCTATTCTATTCTATTCTATTCTATTCTATTCTATTCTATTCTATTCTATTCTATTCTATTCTATTCTATTCTATTCAATGGTAATTCAAGTTTATGTGTTCCTCTCTTCTAATTATAAACTTTAGTTCCCGCTGCTGTCCAATTTTTCAAATCTTATATTTTTTTAAACAAAAATCAAAAGAATCTCCATGGGAAGAATTCTGCATGATTCATTCCAAAATCTTATTTCAAATTCATTTGGAGCCTTAAGCCATTTTTAACTTTCTAAAATCAAAATAATCATTTTGTTGTTTATTCTTCCCCCTCCTTTAAGTTCTTAAACTTGTAATTAAAACTTTATTTGACTATGGATTGACTGAGACTCACCTGTCCAACAGGTAGTCCTCATTTAGTGACTGTTCAGAGTTATTACAAGAGTGAAAAAATAACCTTGCGATCAGTCCTCCCTGTAAAGCAAAGGAAAGCTGAAGTAAGATCGTTAACTACAGTGGTGGTTTCACTTATTAACTGCTTCACTTAACAACTGTGTTATCAATCCCAACTATGGCCTCTACCTTTACTCCAGGGGTGAAATCTAAAATTTTTTGCTACCGGTTCTGTGGGCGTGGCTTAATTAGTGGGCGGGGCTTGGTGGTACAGTGACTGGATGGGTGTGGCCAAGTCAATGTCACTTCTTTGCCCTTTTTTAACATACAAAACACAACACAACACAACTGGCTCACCCACAATGTAAAAGCAGCTGTGCTAGACCCAAAATGGCCCCGCAACAAGCAGGAACCTCACACAGCCACAAAAAGCCCCCCCAAAAAAACAACTTTCACACTTTACCCACACAAAATTCCACATACAGCTTTGTGAGATTTTGTGTGTTTATGTAGTTAGAGTGAAACACTACAGAAACACACTAAATCTCAGAAAGCTGCACAAATATTATTTTATTTTAATTTATTTTTATTTTTATATAAAAGCAGCTAAATTTAAAACTTCCTAAACTTTAAATGGCTAGGTCTAAAAAAAGAACAACTAAAAAAAACCCCCAATTAACTATTTTTTTAAAAGCTCCCAAAAGGGGAAAAAAACTTACCCTATAGAACAGGGGTCTTCAACCTTGGCAACTTTAAGACTTGTGGAATTCAACTCCCAGAATTCCTCAGCCAGCTTTGCTGGGAGTTGAAGTCCACAAGTCTTAAAGTTGCAGATAGAGCTGCTCACCGATGAGCTTGAGTGCAGGCAGGGAGATTCAGTTGCTTGCTGATGCAATGGATTGCAGGTATTACAGCAAGCGGCAGGCGTTGCGACCAGCAGCTAAGGTAAGCAAGCTGGAGGCTGGGGTGGGGGGGGGAGAAAAAAAAGAAACTTTTTTTCTTTTAAATGGGTCTGACAATCCAAGCTGAGCTGCCTGCTAATTAGCTGGGATCGTCAGAGCTTGGCTCGTCAGAGCCATTTAAAAGGAAAAAAAGGCTCTGATGATCGCGCGGCTCAGCTGGGCATGGGGGGTAGGGGCAGGGATTTTTGCTACTGGTTCTCTGAACTGCCCGCTGCCATCACTACCTACTCGCCCGAGCCGGTCCGAACCGGGAGCATTTCACCCCTGCTATACTCTATAAACTCTGCTCAGCATTTATTTCTTCTTGGTTAGCTCCTGCTTTTGCAAAAGGAAGGGTTAGTTAAGGAAAGCCAAATACAACAAATTTCTTAACATAAGGATGGTTTTGTGTCTTGTCAGTCCATGACTCTAAGACCAGCCCTATATGAAATTAATGTACATCAAATTCTATCCAATTATAAATAGAAACAACAGCTTCATCCTTAGTCTACTTTAATGTGCTTCTCATAGCAATCATGGAGGGGAAACTGAGGCCATTCCTTCTGCAACCTGACTTTGCCCTTACAGTCCTGCAGACTTTGAAACTACAGCCCATCATTTTTTATTCTCAATTTTACAGCTTTCTGATATCTACTTTCACCTCATAACCCATTTAATAACAAAGTTCTCCGTGCACTTGGCTTTTTTTAAAAAAACTTAAATTATTCATTCTCTGACAGAGATCCATCCATTTCCCTCCAGACAATACATTTTTGCTTTGCAGTCTGTTATATTTGACAAGGGTTAGTGAGTTAATGATCTTCTTACTTTTAGAGTAGTTGTGCTTGATCAATAACCATAACAAAGAACATTCATTCATTCAAAACATTTGTATAGCTGCCCATCAGATATGAAACTCTGGGCTGCTCTCAATCAGCAGCTAAAAACAACGTTAATATATCATTAATGTTTACATACACTGTATCTATTAAAACCACCAACATTAACTTTATTTTAAAAACATTTATTATAAACTATTCAAAAAAACAGATCTAACAAAAGAGAAGGTGGAGTTACATTATATATAAAAGATCAATACTTCTCTATAGAAATACACAAAACCAAGAATAAAAAACTCCTAGAATCCATATGGGTCAATATAAACGGGGGAAAATGACATTGCTTAGGCCAGCCAACCAAACAGAAGAAATAGATGAACTCTTTGCTAACCAATTAACAAATGTATGTAGGAAACATACTACAGTAATAATGGGAGACTTTAACTACCCAGATATCAATTGGGAGACAAACTTTGTAACAAGTGGGAGATCGAACATATTCTTAATCAGTTTAGCTGACAACTTTATCATCCAAAAGGTAGAGGAGAGAACTAGAGGAAAAGCTATACTGGACCCAATTCTTACTAATAGAGAAGTGAGAGAGGGAGTTGAAGTTTCCAGAACCTTAGGTGAGAGTGACCACATCATATTGGAATTCAATATAATGCAAACACAAGTAATAGAATATAATCCAACCAGTGTCTTAAACTTTAAAAGAGCTGATTTTAACAAACTGAGAGAGATCCTAAGAAAAATTGATAGAAATCCTAAAGGGAAAAACAACTCAAGAAGTATGAGAAACTCTGAAAAATATCATTATAAAAGACCAGTCTAAAACGATACCATTGAAAAAGAAACACAAGAAATCCAAGAAGAAACTAGCTTGGTTGCATCAAGATCTCTCTGATAAACTGAAAGACAAAAAGGATAAGTACAAAAAATGGAATGAGGCTGATTATGTTGGTCTGTGATTCTGAGGGAAAATGATCCAGAGGAATGGATCCATCCCTGAATGGAACAAGCAGAGTAACTGAAATTCACAAGGAAAGAAGAATTCTCTCAATTTTTCTAAAATATGGTCTATAGGTAAGCGTTCCAAATCTTTCCAATTGAACATAGCTTCCAGAACTTGGCTTTTGTACTACAACTGAGCTGATGATATTCCCAGGCATATGAAATGCTGTTAATATTTTAGATCAGAATTTAAATTGATCATATTTAGATAATTAATAGAATGCTGGAGGCATATTCTATTAATAAATTATGACGGTTTCTTGTGTCAGTTCAAACTTGCATTTCTTGCATTTAGAAAAAATGCATGAATACATTGACAGAACATAATCAGCCTAATTACTGAATTAACCCATTTTCAGCATTTGTGTAATTTGTTGAAGCATGAATTAGCTAAACAGTTAGAGTTTGCATGACATCCTGAACCACAAGAAAACTAAATTTAATATCAACCTTGTACATTTCCTAGATTTTTCTCCTCGCTTCTTCGTTTCTCTTTAAGTTTTCTTGACATTTTTAAAAGCTTCATTAACATTTTACCCACCATTCCAACATGTTTATTTGCATTTAATCTGCAATGCAGAGATTTTACCCATAAACTAGTTAGAAAGTTGTTTATTCAAGGTTAAAGGGAGATGATTAGCCTTTGGAATGTAGGAAGTTAGCACCCATCCCTCTCCTAGGAAAATGAGATATTTTAGAAAATATTAACAGGGCAGGATATTTTCCCTAAAAGGGAGGCAGAATCTCAGCCCGCCCCCCGCCCCACACACCTTTGTCAATGGGTCATTATGGCCTGGGCCAATCTATTCAACATAACAAAGATCTACCTCCTTCAGGCAGAGCCATAGTAGGAATTGCCCAAAGCCCTTTCATTACATCATCACCCAGCAAGATTCAACCAAACTTAACACAGAGACAACCTAAAAAGCTGGCTATGACCTCTGACAGCAACCAGTTAGGATACTCTTCTTGTGCCCCAGGAAGTTCAAAGCCAGAGGGGGTATAAAACCCAGGGACTCTCAGCATCCCTTTCCTTTTCTGCCCAGGATCTCAAGCCATGTGATCCTGTTCATCAATAAACCTTTCCAAGCAACTTCCATTAATCCAGTGTCTTTTTCCCCACCTGGAACTGAATCCAGAAGGATATTTCTTCCAACAGGAAGGATTAGGAGATTAATTTGCCTCAGTCTACCAAACATTTAGTGTTTGTGCAATCCTGACTGAGATTAGACATGGATCAATCAATACATTTCTAATTGTTTGAGACTTAAACACTGTATCGAACAGACAGAACAGAATTACAGAATTGGAAGGGACCTTGGAGGTCTTTTAATCTGACCCCCTGCTCAAACAGGAGACCTTATACCATTTCAGACAAATGGCTGTCCAATCTCTTCTTAAAAACTTCCAGTGTTGGAGCATTCACAACTTCTGGAGGCAAGTTATTCCATTGATTAGTTGTTCTAACTGTCAGGAAATTTCTCCTTAGTTCTAGGTTGCTTCTCTCCTTGATTAGTTCCCACCCATTGCTTCTTATCCTGCCTTGGAGAATAGGTTGACCCCGTCTTCTTTGTGGCAGCCCCTTAGATATTGGAACACTGCTATCGTATCAGCCCTAGTCCTTCTTTTCATTAAACTAGACAGTATTTTTCCAATTTCTGTTTGTTTTAAATTTGTTTTTTGAAAGTTTACATTGTTTAGTATGTACAACTGTATAGGCAATATATATTTCACTATTATATTTCTTTTGTAAAAGCTTCCTTAATGAATTGCGTTATAGTATTAGTGCAAACTAATCTGAAGATCCGCCCTGGGTCTTCGGAGAGGGGCGGCATATAAATTGAATAAATAAATAAATAAATAAATAAATAAACTGATAATTTTTTAAAGGATAATTGGCTTGATGTTTAAAACTATGAAATAATTATATCACTTATTCTAATTTATCTTCTTGGAGATATTTGCTCTATTAATGTTTTAATGCATTGGGATTAAGAGACATGGAACAGAGGATTGTGTCTGAAATGAAAAAAAAAAAGATACACCATTGGAAACAATGGCAACACAAAACATGCCTTTGCTCTCTTTTACTTCTAAGACCATAGAGGTTGTAGACAGCAGCCCAACTTGGTGCCACGCACCACAAGCTGCAGAAAAATTGGCCAGGGAGATGATTTTTAAAAGATAACCATAAAAATGTTCATAGAAAATAGGTAGCAGGGTACAAATAGAGCCAAATTGAGACGTGGCTCAAAAACAGCAACTGTGAGAGGGACCTTGGAGTCCTAGTAGAGGATCACTTGAATATGAGCCAGCAATGTGCAGCAGCAGCCAAAAAACACTAATACAATCCTGGGTTGTATAAACAGAGGCATAGAATCAAGATCACGTACAGTATTAGTACCATTTTATAAAGCCCTAGTAAGATCACACCTGGAATACTGCAGCCAATTTTGCTCACCACACTACAAAAAAGATATTGAGATTTTGGAAAAGTTCAGAGAAGAACAACTAAGATGATTAAAGGCCTGGAGACCAAAACATATGAAGAATGGCTGCCGGATTTGGATTTGGCTAGTCTAGAGAAAAGAAGAATTAGGGGTGACATGATAGCAGTATTCCAATATTTGAGGGGCTGCCACAAAGAAGAGGGAGGTCAAATTATTCTCCAAAGCACCAGAAGGTAGGACAAGAAACAATGGTTGAAAACTAATCAAAGAGAGAAACAACCTGGAATTAAGGAGAAACTTCCTAACTGTGAGGACAATTAACCAGTGGAACAGTTTGCCTTCAGAAATTATGGGTGCTTCATCACTGGAGGTTTTTAAGAAGAGACTGGACAGTCACTTATCTGGAATGGTATAGGTTCTCCTGCTTGAGCAGGGGGCTGGACTAAAAGACCTCCAAACTCCCTTCCATCTTATTCTATTCTATTCTATTCTGTTCTATTCTATTCTGTTCTATTCCGTTCCGTTCCGTTCCGTTCCGTTCCATTCCATTCCATTCCATTAAATAAATATTCCTTTCAAAGATTGCTATGGGAATTTTGCTCACTGCCTAAACTGAGGAAGCATTGATCAGGATTTTTTAGTGAGGAGGCTCTAAGCCAAGACTGGTCTGGGGAGGCTTCTCTTCTGTAGCTTGGTGTACCTGTATCCTCTGAGCAATGTTAAGCAGTTGGATCAAGCCATCCTCCCGCCCTCCGCCCCCCCCCCCCCACAAAACCTGAAGTGATGCAATGTCAAAGGAGGACAGTGGTACTTTTCAATAATTACTTTGCAATTCAAAGTATCAGGGCTCATGGCTTTGGGATGAAACAGATGCCAACTTTGCAAAACGCAGGGAGCCACCTGAACAAATAAGCTACTTAGTTCCACAGGAAGTTAATATAATTTATCTCCCATGCATTGAATAGTTTCTATCAGACCAGAAATTACAATTTGGCAGCAGATTTTGAAAGAACTATGGGGCTGCTCACTCAATACTCAATCCACCTGTGGTCCTGGGTTCTCAAGTTGTATCAAACAAAGACATCCACAGAACACACTAAATCAAAACCCAATGGAATAGACTGCAGCACAATAGGATACTGTGTTTGAACTCGGTCAAGGACTCCAATGTTAATTAAAGTAAATTGTTCAAGTGGCCAATCACATTGCCAAACAGTAGTGCATGTCTCAATAAAGGACTAAACTATTGTGTAGTGGGCTTCAGAAGGCAAGAACCAGACCAGCAAAGCTATAGCAGTATTTATTGACTCAAAACGAACTGAGGAACAGCAGGTAAATGCCTGTAATTTATACTCCGGGCCCACAAGGTCTTAACCAATTATAATGCTTGAAAAACCCATCCAAATATAAATGTTCAAAGTTTCTCTCCAAAATAGTTAGAGCTAACAATGAGGGTCATTTAAAGGATGGTTTCACTTTAGCAGGGTTAACACAACTATATACACTCAATACGTAACAAAACTGGTCTCACAAACCTGCAAATCTGACTGCTATTCAGAGGGTGACAAAATATGAGGTGAGGACTTCTAAGCAATTCTTCAACATGCACCGACAGAACTCATGCGAAATCTGCCAGGAGAGATGTAACACTTTGAAAGTTAATTACCTGTATTAATAGGAGATTAAACAGTGCTGTCACTATGGGTAGGTGGAAAGCTGCACAGAACTGTTTTGTGCTATTGCATTTATTTCTGGATTATTTTTGCATGACTGGCTGCAGTGGTGGGTTTCAAAAATTTTTACTACCGGTTCTGTGGGTGTGGCTTGGTGGGCGTGGCATTGCTTGGTGGGTGTGGCAGGGGAAGGATACTGTAAACTCTCCATTCCCACCCCACTCCAGGGGAAGGTTAGTGCAAAATCCTCATTTCCTCCCGATCATTTCCTGGGATTTGGGAGGCAGAGAATAGATGGGGGCAGGGCCAGTCAGAATTTTTACTACCGGTTCTCCAAACTACTCAAAATTCCAGCTACTGGTTCTCCAGAACTGGTCAGAACCTGTTGAAACCCACCTCTGGCTGGCTGGGCTTTGAGTAGAACGGGCATTTAAAAAAAAAAGATTTTGCTTCATTGTGAAAAAGGCCTGAAATCAGACTTGGTTCAAAAGTGAGTCTAACATCTCTCCAGACATAACTTCGATCTTTTAGAAGCCATCATTTTCTTCCCCAATTCTGCAGCATCTAAGCAGTCACCCGTTCTCTTTGTAGCCTCTCAACTGAGTCAGCCCAACAAGAGGTTGCGTGCTTCAATGATCTGTTTGCCGATCTCCCAGCTGGTTGCTAATTTCCGATTCAAATGTGCCCACCATTTTAATGAGGTACGCTTCCTGTTGAGTCAGACTTTGGGATATAGCAATCAGCCTACTGTTCTGAATCCCACTGTAATTCTGCCTTAGAAATGAAAGGGGGAGGAAGGAGAAAGTGGTGGAGAAAGAGACGTGACAGAATAGTCTTCTTGAGCCATTGTAGGTATATATATAGAGAGAGATCTAAGGGGATGTGGAAGACCCCATAACTATAAATTACGTTCAGAAACCCTGCTTAAGGGGGCTGTTGACAGCAATGACTAAAAACCCTTGTAGTTGGCAGGTTTCCCCTGCCAAACAATGTGCATCAGCCAATTTTTTCACACCACCCACCTTCGGCCGCCCACAGAGAAAGAAAGCAACAGTAGAAAAGGAGAAACGGGGCCCAACTTCTGGATGGGCCAGAATTGAGGTGCATAATGGTGGCAGAAGATATAGGGTGCATGGCCTACTGCTGCCCCAGTGGGATCTCATCAAGAGGCAGATTCAGAGACATGAAGGGAAAGCATGAAGGGAAATAACACTCTAAAGTTCAGCCTTCCAACCTTCTGGAGAACTTTTTGATGATGACCTCAGATGGGGCACAGCTGATGATATCATCAGATCCATTTGTCTGGAATGATAATAGGGTCTCCTGCTTGAGCAGGGAATTGGAGTAGAAGACCTCCAAGGTTCCTTCCAACGCTGTTTTTCTGTTAATTATGGTCAATTTTCAGGACTTGTGGGGTGGGTTCTGGGAGGCACAACATTCTCCCTCTTACCCCTCCCTTCTGCTGCCAGCAAAAATTAGCCATTTTAGCACCACATATCAGTAGCATAAGTTCATTGGCTCCCTGGCCTTCACTATCCCTGGGTCTCTTCAACAATTCCTTTCTGGCTGTGACCATGGGACTGAGATTTTCCAAGTAGAAATTGTGCAAAAAATATTTACCCAAGTTAGGAGGCCAGGCAATTTTCTTGGTTTCAGAAAGAAGAAAGCATAATGCAATTGTTAAACCCATCTCTGTTGTGCGCCTTATGATTTTTGCCATTATTATTTTTTGTAGCTATCTCATTAAACCTAGTTGGTCACCCTCCCCTTCTTCAGCTCCTTTCTCAGAAAATCATAAGCAATTAATTTTTGGTGAATGCAGATGTTTCTCCATATGCCTGCGTGGACTCAACATCATTGTTCAGAGCAGGTTGTTTCAGGCTGAGGAGCAGCTCTAGTACTTATTTTTAATTTTATTTATGGCATTTGTATGCCAACAGACTTTAGAAAGAGTGGTCTGGTTTGAATATTGTAAAATTGAACAGAAATGTCTCAGACTATGGCATTTCAATACATCCCTGAGATTTTTATTTATTATTTAAAGGACTTCTCTTCTACCTGTCACCCAGGAAAAGCTTCTGGAACATCTTACAGATAATAAACATTGAAAGGTACCCTGTATAGAATTCATACTCTCAATTTAATGAGACCTGTCATTAAAAAAAAGACATGGATAGGTTAAAAAGGGAAATGCCGTTACCAATTGTTAAGGTCGTACAAGTCCTAAGGCATTCAGCAGGAAGTTTTTCTTTATTTATACATATAACCAAATTTCTAGAACCATCCAAGTCAATAGTTTCTGGCAGTTTACAAAAAAATAACAACCAGCCAATCAAAATCCCCAATAAGATTTGTCTTTTTTCTTCACTGCTGAAAACAAATTTCTCCTTCACCACCCCCCAAGAAAAAAAATCTGGAACAAAGAAAATCAAGGTATAATTTGTGGATCATATATTTTGTGGACTGAATTTAAGAGAGGGAGTTTAGCTATTTTGAAGGAATAAAGGATTGTAAGGTTTTTGTCCCTCTCTGTAAACCTGGGAAGAATAATTTGTGCCCTCCATCACCTACCCTCCACAACAACTCATTTGCAGCCCTCTATATTCCTTTCAGAGTAAGTGGGAGCTAAGTGGCAGACTGCGAGTTCAAGTCCCACCTTAGCGATGAAAGCTACCTGGGTGAGTTGGGCCAGTTACTCTCTCTGAGTCCAATCTACCTCACAGGATTGTTTTTGTGGGGAAAATAGGAGGAGGAAGGTGTATTGGATATGCTTCCTGCTTTGAGCTATTTATAAAAATAATAAAGGCGGGAAATAAATAAAAGAAATAAATATTTTCCATTCTATTTTTATTACAAGTATTCCTCAACTGATGACCACAATTGATCCTAAAATTTCTATCCTTAAGAGACAGAGTTGTTAAGTGAATTTTACACCATTTTATGACTTTTCTTGCCACAGTTGTTAAATGAATCACTGCAGTTGTTAACTTAGTAACACTGTTGTTAAGTGAACCTGGATTCATAAGTCACTTTTTTCAGTGCTTCTTAGCAAACCTGGGCAAATTGAACTGTCCATTCTAGATGGATAAATACATCTTTTTTTTCCTTTTTCTTTCTTTCTTTCTTTCTTTCTTTCTTTCTTTCTTTCTTTCTTTCTTTCTTTCTTTCTT